TCTGTTGTATACCCCAGGAGCAGAAACATCCTGCTATTCTCACCAAAGACCAACATGTTTCCAAGCTTATTTTGCAGCATATACACCAGCAGCTTGGGCATGCAGGAAGAAACCACATGCTATCAGCTCTTAAAAAAGATACTGGATTACTAGTGCCAACTCAGCTTGCAGGAAGATCATCTCTGAATGTGTTATTTGTAAATGACAAAGAGCACAGCCCTCTTGGCAGAAAATGTCTTATATGCCAGAAGGACGCATCAGTCCAGATTTGCCACCATTCACTAACGTAGGTGAGGATTATTTTGGGCCCATAGAGGTGAAAAGAGGACGTGCCATGGTCAAAAGATATGGAGTTATCTTTACCTGCATGGCAAGCCGGGCTATACATCTGGAGGTGGCACACTCACTAACGACTGATTCTTGCATCAATGCCATAAGACCTTTTATATGTCGAAAAGGTCCAGTGCGCCAAATGAGATCAGACAATGGCACAAATTTTATTGCTGCAGAACGTGAACTGAGAGAGGCGTTGGCATCAGTGGAACAGAACAAGATTCATCAATTTCTGCTTTCGAAAGAGATTGATTGGACATTTAATCCACCTGCTGCATCCCATCATGGAGGAGTTTGGGAGCGTCTTATTAGAATGGTTCGAAAAGTATTATTTTCTGTCCTTCAACAGCAGTCACTGGACGATGAAAATCTACAAACCTTCTCGTGTGAAGTGGAAGCCATTCTAAATGATCGCCCCATAATTACAGTCTCTGATGAGGCAAATGATCTGGAAGCTCTTACGCCAAATCACATTCTGCTGCTCAAAGGGAACCCTATTCTAGCTCCTGGTGTATTTGAAGAGAGAGACTGCTGCATCAGAAAACGCTGGAAGCAGGTTCAGTATCTGGCAGACTTGTTTTGGAAAAGGTGGACAAGAGAGTACTTACCTTTGCTACAAGAAAGACAAAAATGGTCTAAGCCTCAAAGAAACTTCACAGTGGGAGACGTCGTCGTGGTGATGGATCATACTGCGCCTCGTGGATCTTGGATTCTTGGAAGAATAATCAACACTTATCCTGACAAAAATGGACTTGTTCGAGCAGTTCAGCTGAAAATGAAGACCGGACAGTTGGAGAGGCCCATCTCGAAGATCTGCCTTCTTCAAGCAGCTGTATAAGATGAGAGAAGATACTACATGGGACATTTTTTGGCTCCTTATTTTATTATTTAATTGTGCTGTCTACACAATTGGGGCCGGTGTGTAGGAGCCAATCTTGTTTTGTTTTAGATTATCTTATGGTCTAAGTTTATTTTGATAATGTTTTATGTGCATTTCAGTTTATTGCACTGTGGTTTGTATTTCATTTAACCACTGGTGGCACTGCGGAGCCTATAAAGGTGTTGAGGTGGCAGTGCATTGGCGTTTTTTGGGTGACGGGAGGTCACACGGTTTTTACCGCTTCGTTTGGTTTCATATGCCACATCTAATTTGCCGTTATGATTTTCATCATTTACATAAACCTTGATAAGAAATAGCCATTCTGGACCCTGCATAACTGTGATCATCAACATATTCAATAAATGGGACAATAAACCCAAACCCGCTTTCTGCCGGGACAATAGTGTTGAAGCGAGTCAATGCCTCCACCCGCACCCGAGGGTGACTAAAAGTGGGACTTGATAGTCACTACACCACTCCTTCCTTACCTGGGTAGTGTGTTTTTGATTATTGTCATGCCGAAAGACTCTGCCATGTTTAATCGTCAATGCCCAGTATCCAGCAAGTTTTAGTGGTTTCTCTGCTTTAACATGCTTGGTTCATTGGTTGAAGCCTGTGCAGCAGTTCATTGTGCTCTACAGAGGCCTGTTAATTACCTGCTGATTGAAATAATGTGTGCTGAAACAGGGTTAAAACTAAAACATGCTGGATACCAGCCCTCCAGGACCAGGATTGGGCACCCCTGCTTTACATGGATCAGTCATTCTGGTCCCCTTGCAGAAAAACAGACCCAAAGACCCAACCAAAGCAATGTTTCCACCCCCATGCTTTACAGTAGGTATGGTGTTCTTTAGATGCAACTCAGCATTCTTTCTCCTCCAAACACGACCACAGTCCTATTTTGGTTTCATCTGACCACATGACATTCTCACAATCCTCTTCTGGATCATCCAGATGCACTCTGGCAAACTTCAGATGGGTCTGCACCATGGACGTAATTTGGGGGGGGGGGGGGGCATGCCCCCCCCCCCCCCACTTTTTCCAAAGTCAAGGTTTGACCCCTGCACTTTTTACCATCCAAAAACAACATTACGCTATATTAAACTGACACTGGTTGAGCTCTAGGGCCAAGCGGAAAACAACCGTTTGTGTTGAAGCCTGTTTCCCATTAGAGCATACTGTAAAGATCCCCCCCCACCCACCCCCCACCCCCCCACTTCTAAAGTGAAAATTACGTCCATGGTCTGCACATCTACTAGCTTAAGCAGGGGGACATGTCTGCCACCACACAATTTCAGTCTCTGGCAGCGTAGTGTGTTACTGATGGTAGTCTTTGTAACTTTGGTCCCAGCTCTCTGCAGGTCATTCACTAGGTCCCCCCATGTAGTTCTGGGATGGTTACTCACAGTTCTTGTGATCATTTTGACCCTACGGGGTGAGATCTTGCTTAGAGCCCCTGATCGAGGGAGATCATCTGTGGTCTTGTATGTCATCCATGTTCTAATAATTACTCGCACTACACCGTCTTGGCAAATTGAGTAAGGTTCTCATAGCGTTATTGTAGGCAGTCTGAATCTTTCGCACACTTGCTTCCATATGGCGAGACCACAAACACACACAAAATTATATATATATATATATATATATATATATATAGTGGGGCAAAAAAAGTATTTAGTCAGCCACCGATTGTGCAAGTTCTCCCACTTAAAATGATGACAGAGGTCAGTAATTTACATCATAGGTACACTTCAACTGTGAGAGACAGAATGTGAAAAAAAATCCATGAATTCACATGGCAGGATTTTTAAAGAATTTATTTGTAAATCAGGGTGGAAAATAAGTATTTGGTCAATAACAAGAATTCAACTCAATACTTTGTAACATAACCTTTGTTGGCAATAACAGAGGTCAAACGATTACTATAGGTCTTTACCAGGTTTGCACACACAGTAGCTGGTATTTTGGCCCATTCCTCCATGCAGATCTTCTCGAGAGCAGTGATGTTTTGGGGCTGTCGCCGAGCAACACAGACTTTCAACTCCCTCCACAGATTTTCTATGGGGTTGAGGTCTGGAGACTGGCTAGGCCACTCCAGGACTTTCAAATGCTTCTTACGGAGCCACTCCTTTGTTGCCCGGGTGGTGTGTTTGGGATCATTGTCGTGTTGAAAGACCCAGCCACGTTTCATCTTCAAAGCTCTCACTGATGGAAGGAGGTTTTGGCTCAGAATCTCACGATACATGGCCCCATTCATTCTGTCCTTAACACGGATCAGTCGTCCTGTCCCCTTAGCAGAAAAACAGCCCCAAAGCATGATGTTCCCACCCCCATGCTTCACAGTAGGTATGGTGTTCTTGGGATGCAACTCAGTATTCTTCTTCCTCCAAACACGACGAGTTGAGTTTATACCAAAAAGTTCTACTTTGGTTTCATCTGACCACATGACATTCTCCCAATCCTCTGCTGTATCATCCATGTGCTCTTTGGCAAACTTCAGACGGGCTTGGACATGCACTGGCTTCAGCAGCGGAACACGTCTGGCACTGCAGGATTTGATTCCCTGCCGTTGTAGTGTGTTACTGATGGTGACCTTTGTTACTGTGGTCCCAGCTCTCTGCAGGTCATTCACCAGGTCCCCCCATGTGATTCTGGGATTCTTGCTCACCGTTCTCATGATCATTTTGACCCCACGGGATGAGATCTTGCGTGGAGCCCCAGATCGAGGGAGATTATCAGTGATCTTGTATGTCTTCCATTTTCTGATAACTGCTCCCACCGTTGATTTGTTCACACCAAGCTGCTTGCCTATTGTAGATTCACTCTTCCCAGTCTGGTGCAGGTCTACAATTCTTTTCCTGGTGTCCTTCGAAAGCTCTTTGGTCTTAGCCATAGTGGAGTTTGGAGTCTGACTGTTTGAGGCTGTGGACAGGTGTCTTTTATACAGATAATGAGTTCAAACAGGTGCCATTAATACAGGTAACGAGTGGAGGACAGAAAAGCTTCTTAAAGAAGACGTTATAGGTCTGTGAGAGCCAGAGATTTTCCTTGTTTGAAGTGACCAAATACTTATTTTCCACCCTGATTTACAAATAAATTCTTTAAAAATCCTGCCATGTGAATTCATGGATTTTTTTTTCACATTCTGTCTCTCACAGTTGAAGTGTACCTATGATGAAAATTACTGACCTCTGTCATCATTTTAAGTGGGAGAACTTGCACAATCGGTGGCTGACTAAATACTTTTTTGCCCCACTGTATATTATACGCTGTGTGTATGATTTAGTGACTGTGTATAAAAGTTTCAGCACCTTTGTCTGTCGGTAAATGTTTGATGTCTTTTAGCCCCATTGGTTGAAACTTCTGTCTCGACTCTTTCACTTGACAAATAAATAAATCACTAGTTAGAAAAACACTTTTTTAAATCAATTTTTGGTGGCCTGCAAGTACTTCTATCTTGATGATGATGACGATTTCGCCTTTACTTTGAAATGTTTGGACGTGGTTCATCATGCTGTAATTATATTGTACTAGTTTTGAAAGAAACATAGCCAAACTGTACTATCTTAGAAAATTTTAACTTAAGAAATAATTTCTTATTGTTATTCTAAACAGCTGATGTGGACAAGAAAGAAATATTAAAATGACTGTCTTAACTTTTTGGGGATGCACTTGTCATAGTGGATAAACTGTGACAGAAAGGGGGAGTATGTTGTACTTTTGGATTACATACACGGAGTAATTTCCCTTCAGAGTACGTGGGCTTTTATTTTGAAGGCGCTTGCATCTTTTCCGGTGTGTCGCAGTGTTTTTCCGTCTGACTTGACCCTGTGGGAAGAAGGAGTCCATGATGACAACTTGAAAACAGTATCCTGGAGAGCTGACTACCTGCTGGATACTGGTCGGCAGAAAGGTTCGTGTCCTGAGTGTCGCCTCGGTTCGGGAGCGGCTCAGCGGAGGAACGTCCACCAACCGTCCGGCTAACATGAGCTCCGGCGGCTGCAACTGTTGTTTACATCCAGCCCAGATGAAGATGGGCCCGGAGAGGCGTGTTAGCTAACCCGGCTACCCGAGCTGCTTCCAGGGAAGGTGTCATTGGAAAGCCTGCTCTGTCAGGACCGGGGAGGTCCACCCGAACCGCCCGCCGCCTGAAGGGTGAGTTCAGCACCGGTCAGAGGCGTAACCGCCCGGTTAACGGCAGCTGCCATCGGACGGACTGAAGATTAGGCCTGTTTGAAATTCTGCTGACAAAATGAGACTGATCGGAACAGCAATATTATAGGAAAATGATGCATGTGTGCAGCCACTGATGTTCATTTAGTACAACGTAAAATCAATAATTATGTTTATTAAATCTACATGTCAGAAGTAAAGCTTTAGTTTCACAAATAAATTAATATGTCTATATTAAAATGCTTTAATAAATACATCTAACACGCTTAAGTTTTACTTCTTAATTAAAAAGTTGCTTTAAATGTGTATTAAAGTTCTGACATCATAAATAGTTGTGTTAATTCAGGTTTTACATTTTGTTCTTTTGGTGACTCCAGAAATATTTCACAAACGAAGAGATAATATCAAGTAAATATAATGAATGTTACCCTGAATCAGTTTTTATTTTCATCTGTATTATAAATGAGTTTTGGTGGAAGATGCTCTGAGTCTGGGTTCAGGGGCTGACTCTTGTAAAGTTCTGATCTGCCAATTCCAATTCATCACAAACTTTTTTATTATGGAATTATTATGCACGTTGACCAAATGTGATCACCAGACAATTTCTGAGTATCTATCTTGTGGACTTTTAGATAACAAGCTTCAGGGTAATTAAAACAGGATCCAAAGATGCATAAAAGACCGTCTTCAGACTCAAATGAGTTATTTTAAATAACTAAAATTCAATAGAATAAAATGTGAAACACAATAAGACGGACATACTAATTGCCAAGTAGTTGACACTTCTTATATTTTAACAGACCAGATGTGAAATTAACAGATACGTGAAATTTCTTTATGTACGGGTGCTTCACACCTGTTCATGCTGGTTCCTTTGCTGTGGCTTGGTTTGTTTTCACACACAGGAAACCACAGATTAACCAAAAAGGTGTGACTGCAAACCAGGTGAGAATGTTCAGGTCGTTGATTGGTCATATTGTCTGTGGGTTTCGAGCGTTATCCGTTCTTTCATATTCCGTTGTTGAATTGTGATCGGCAGACGCTTTTCCGGTTCGCGCCTCACTTTTTTTTACAGCAGTGGCCCAAAGCGATCTCCTAACACATGGATGTTCTGCTTCCTGATCACGTGACGTGTCACGTATGTGGATGAAGGTCGGCTTTAGAGCTGAGATATTTGTTCTCACGGTGCGGGGGCTCGTCCGACACCCACACAGTAAAAACATGGAAATGACTTTAGTCGTCATTAGGGATGGGTACCGAATTCGGTACTTTTTAAGGTACCGACCGAATTCCATAGTACCGACCGAGCACCGATTCACGTCATTTGAAATGGTGCTTCGTTTCGGTACCCGTCCATCATAACGAGAACTTGCCAAGACAGCTGCGCATGCGCAAGAGCGTGATGTCGTCGGTCGCTGCGAGCCAGTTGTAAACAGAGCAGCATGGTAGAAAGAACGCACGCTAAAGCTTGGGTCCACTTCACTAAATGTGATGGGTAACTGGGTGATGATGAAACCAGCGACAACGATCTAAGTGAGACATCCTCATCTTAATCTGCTCCGGTAGGTAAATGAAATGTTTAAGATAACGTTAGCTTGATATGTTAGCTTCCGTTTCGCTAATGGTGCGTTCGCTTTCTCCTCGGAACTCCGAATTTCCGACTAGAAGAACATGAACGCGCACTAAAGTTTGGCTTCACTTTACTAAATGTGACGGGTGATTGGGTGAAGATGAAACCAGCGACAACGATCTAAGTTAAGTTAAAGTTAAAGTCCCATTAGTTGTCACACACACTGGTGTGTGTGCGAAATTTGTTCTCCGCATTTGACCCATCCCCTGGGGGGAGCGGTGAGCTGCAGACACAGCCGCGCTCGGGAACCATTTGGTGGTTTAACCCCCCAATCCAACCCCTTAATGCTGAGTGTCAAGCAGGGAGGCATTGGGTCCCATTTTTTCAAAGTCTTTGGTATGACCCGACCAGGAGTCGAACCCCTGATCTCCCAGACTCAGGGCGGACACTCTACCACTAGGCCACTGAGGCATCATCGTTTTAATCTGCTCCAGCAGCTAAATAAACTGTTTAAGATAACGTTAGCTTGATATGTTAGCTTCCATTGCCACCGTTGTTATCAGCTAATGGTGTGTTCGTTTCTCCTCGGAAATTCTAACTTCCCAGTACGAAAAAGGACGGCAAAAGGAATGAAGATGCACAGTAAATTTAGTTCACAGCAAAGATGTTTGCTTCAGTTTAATTATCAGCTTATAAAACTACAAGGACGATGTTAAAATGAAAACTGTTGTGTGTTATTTATCGTGATATTTGTCAAATATGGTTATATATTGAGAAAAATATATATTTAATTATAAAAGAGAATTAAAAATAATAAACACTCAAAAGTATCTAAAATTGGTACCGTTAAGTACCGGTATCGATTCCTAGTTACCGGGAATTAGTACCGGATCGATTCAAATGTCAAAGGTACCCATCCCTAGTCGTCACTGGCAGTGAATGAGTTAACACCGAGATCCCCACGTAGAAGCGCTGAGCCTGGCAGGACATGGAAATGAAGCCATGCAGCAAACTGAACCGAGACCAGTGATAGGGCAGTCGGCCATGATGCTTTGTGTCTGCCTCCTGTTGTTTATAACCGTGGCTCCCAGAAGTTGCTCATGAGTAGCGCGGTGTTTCTGCTAAACAGATCCTGATGGACATTTCAGCTCTCATCCCACCAAATACTTTTGGTTGTGCATCAGAATTATGTTAAAAAGTGTTGGTACTATTTATAGAGCAGGTCAAAGGTGTGTGTGTGTGTTTGTGTGTGTGTGTGTGTGTGTGGGGGGGGGGGGGGGGTGTAACCGAGTATTAACAGTTAAGGGCATCCCTTTTTGGAACCAAACTGACATTGCCTCCTACAGTTCTTTTGTCCCACACCTTAGTGACATTACTGTGTTCACACCTGCTGAAACGTACCTCACCGGGGGAGGGGAAAGAGAGCCAGGTGGGTTTACCAGACTGAGTAAACCGTTGGTTCTACAGCTGAGTGAGAATACTCTTGGGTTGAGAGGTCAGGTCTGATAGGTTCAACAGCTAAAACCTGACATCCAACATAAAAAGAAAACATTCTGTGAAACTCAGCAGACTTGTTTACGAACCACTGTTGTTTTTAATTTTAGCAGTGGTCTGGGCAGATTTTACTACGGCCTACAGGGGGCGATAATGAGCTCTGTTCTACAGACAAGGAAGATGAACATAAACAAGCCTCCTCACTCAGCATTTTCCAAAGCAAGAGTCCTTGTTGTTCTCCTTCTCCTGCTTCAGTCTTCTTTGTCCTTTCTGCCTATGGTGCCCCCCCCCCCCCCCCCCCCCCCCCCCCGGGCTGATCCTACCAGACAGATACGACGACTACATTTACATCATCACTTACACGGATGCAGAAATTATGAACAAGTGTGTTTCTGCCCTTAAACACTTACCCCTTCTTTCCACTGGAGCCGTCAGCAGCGCGAGTCGGCCGCGTCTCAGGAGCAGCATGTCGCGGCCTTTACGTGCCGGTTCTATTTTCTATGCGCGACGCCTCTGAAACGGGTCAAGTTCAACATTTTTGGGGAAGGAAAGACAGGAAATCGGACGCAGAAACGGAGAGAAGCTCCCGAGATTTCCAGAATAAAGAAACGTACTTCCTTCCGGTTGCTTTACTTAAAAAAACAAGTTACTAACT